AGCTACTCTGACCAATTCCTGGCGCTCAGGCTCCGTGAGAACGTAGCGCATGTCGTCGATGTTCTTGCTCCGCAGAAAGTCATGTCGAAGCTTAAGGACAGAGAGAATGGCTCGGCCAGTCTCCTCCTGAGACGCAAAGGCCGTGTCATATTCCGAGCCAGGCTGAGGAGCGCCAGCTGGATTAGTGTCCGCTGGCTCCGTGGACTTCCTCTTTTTGAAAAGCAAGAGACTGAGATGATGGAGGACTTTCGGATCGTACTCCTCGTCGTACCTGTCGTCCCAAAGCTGCCTCAGCTCCCTGTGCAAGTCGTCCGCGCGATTCTGAACGACATCCTCGACGTAGTCGGGATCACCCGGTGAAGTCGGTGAAAGCGGAGGAGTAGAACTCGGCGACCGATCCCAATGCACAGAAGACTCGCGGTCCGCCTGTACGCTGACGTCGGCGTCGGAGACGTTTTCGACGACAATCTTCCGCCTCTTGCTCTCCCCAGGCTGAATAGCACCAGGGAGAGTGAGCACAACCGCCACCGCATCGTGTGCGTCGTTGCGCATGCCACGATCCGTAAAAGACGCGCCAACGGCAATGGAGCAGAAACGGGCGACTGCTCCGCAGACCGCGACGTGGTCGCCTTTGAGGTCGGCCGGAGTGGCATGGACCTCCCATACCTTCTCGTCGTTCTGCTGGCGCTGGTAAGCCTCCCGCGCCTCCTGGAAAGTGAGGTTGTCGTCGCCGACTACAAGCAGAACGACTGCCTGGTTTAGATTCTCAAGAATCTTGGCCAGGCCGTCCAGGTGCAAGCGGAGATGGCGAACTGTCCGCTTTCGAGTCTGGATGGTCGGCGGTTTCTTGCCGCACACGATGTGCATGTTGGCGATCACCACGTGGAACTTGTCATGGCCTGGTTTGTTCACCTCAAAATGTGAAATAACAGCATCAATCTCTCGGCCGCTAGGAGGCCTGTAAACTTTGCTGTAATCCAGAAACAGTTCCGCAGGCTGAGAAGCACCGCGGAACCCCCAGAGAGTCAAGTAGTTGTCGACCTCCGAGAAGCGAATGCCATCACCGAAAGGCTTACTGAGGATCTCTGTCACGTTGATCCCTGCTCGGCGAAAGCCTTCACGGAACGCACCGACCTCGCAGCCACAGACAATATCAGCATCAGCGGTCTCCACTATCGTGGCGCACAACCTTCCGAAGTTAGCGCAGTGAGTGGCCGCCTGCTTACCAGTCATCATGCCCTGCTCGAACCCGAAATTGAACGAGGCGACCGTGAAAGACGCAGGCTGCACAGCGCCAGAACCAGGCGTCTGTCCACCTTCCTCCGCAGGCTGAGAAGCACCGCGAGGCGGCGCAGGCTGAGAAGCACCGCGAGGCGGCGACACTTCGGACGAGCCTCGCGGAGCAGAGGCTGCGGATGAACGTTGGACATGGGGGTACGGCCAGGGGAACGCCATTGCAATCAAAACTCAGTGGTCTGCAGTGAATGAATGCAGTGGCACGATTGAATGCAGAGGACTGCAGTGTCACTAGCAAGTCCTGAACCAAACACAGCTGTGGCGGAAGGAGTATGAAGCGTCTGGCTATTCAAAATGTGGCCCGGGAATGGAGTTCTGGGAACTCGAAGACCAGGAAGTGGACTAGAGTTGGCTCCGGGCATCCAAAATGTGGCCCGGGAATGGAGTTCTGGGAAATGGAAGAGCACGAAGTGGCTTACAGTTGGCTCCGGGCATCCAAAATGTGGCCCGGGAATGGAGTTCTGGGAAATGGAAGAGCACGAAGTGGCCTACAGTTGGATCCGGCCCCCCAGAATGTGGCCCGGGAATGGAGTTCTGGGAAATAGAAGAGCACGAAGTGGCCTACAGTTGCATCCGGCCCCCCAGAATGTGGCCTGGGAATGGAGTTCTGGGAAGGCGAAGAGCACGAAGTGTGTGACTGTTGGTGAAAAACGAGCCCGGCTCACTGCCGCCCGGCAACTCCCAACACCTGCCCGGACCCCCCTGTGGAGTGATCTGCTGCTCTCTTTTGATCCCACTAGAAACCTATCAGTCTTCGCTGTTAGGTAAAATAGGAAAGAATGCAAAACAAAGGCTAAATCATACTTTTAAAAATGGTCCACATACTATTATTTTTTGCTATTTTCGAATACTCCTCCTGTAAAGGGACAGGCCCGACTCAACTCTGGCCTCGTCCAGAACCCGAGTTCTCGCCTCCCCTCGCGGAGCGTCCGCGCTGATCTGGCATGCGACCGGTGCGCGAACCCGCTTCCAGCATGTCGCCGAGCGGGCCACACGCGCACGCCGCCGCGCGGGCGTGCCGAGGCCCTTCCAAGACCGATGGCTTCCGGAGCGTCTCACGATGCAGCTCGTAAGGACACATGCAGTGGGGGCCCGACCGCAAGAAACCTGCCGCAAGAAACCCAGCACTGTGACCCCAGGGCGTCCGCAGATTTCTGGTGTGGGAGCGTCGCGCTCTCCACGGCAAAACCATCGAAACCCAAGAAACCCAGGGCACCCTGGAGGCAAGCAGGGGGATTCTTGGCATGGGCCCTCACTGTAGATCAGAACTTGCTTGAATCAACAGAAGATGTGCCAAGTCTCTTGCATTTCCGCGCGCGCACTTGCTCACTATTACTCTTGGTAAGTCACCGCATCACCGCCGGTATCGTCATCGTCATCGTCAGTCGCCGCCACGGCTGCCGCCATCAGCCAATCACCCTCATCACCGACACATGGACATCATCATCATCATCATCATCATCATCATCATCATCATCATCATCATCATCATCATCATCATCGTCATCGTCGTCGTCAGCATCGGCGCCGTTTTTGGCCTTGCCGTCGTCATCGCCATTGTCGCCACCACCATCGCTACTATCATCATCGTTGCCGCCGTTGTCAACGTGATCATGGTACTGCTCCCACCCGAGTTACCAGGCCCGCGCTCCAGCGCTGCCGTTGGGACGCAGTGGGAAGTCCCTATCGGTAAGCGCCGTCGCAGCCGCGTCGATTGTGCTAAACCAGCTGACCGCTCTGCGCGCGAGCTTGCACGCGCTAGCGCAGCCGCAGAGATGCGCCAGCGAGTGCCAAGTAGTCACCGCAACCGCGGCCGCATGGGTTGTGCAAAACAAGTTGCGGATGGGAGGGCGGGATGATTCAGCGAGCAGTGGGGTCAGTGGGGCTGACGACTTCAAGTTCTGCAAGGTGGATTTCACCGCATAGCTTACACTGAATAATTTCATCATATATTACACCACACAGTTTGCACCGCATAGTTTGCACCCACACGACATCAATGACACCACGTAGTTTGCACCACACAGCTTGCATCACATAGCTTACACCACATAGCTTGCAACACACAATTTCCACCACATAGCTTACACCACATAGCGTACATAAAGTAGCTTGCACCACATCGCTTACACCACACAGCGTACATTACGTAACTTGCACCACCTCGCGTGCACATACACGGTACAATAACTTACTGTTTGGGGCCACGCCGGCGAACATACTTCCGAACAAAATTGCGCACTCGCCTTAGACATGATGACGCACAACAAACATATCCTGGCGAAGAGCCCAACCATATGCAAATGTGAATACCGCAAGGTGGGTGGGACGGAGGAGGAGGATCTCCCCGTGGGGTCACGAAACATTTGAGGGGTGCGCCGAAATGGGCGTGAAACCGCATATGGACGCACCCACTGGGGGTGTAACGTGTGAGGGGTGTGCCAGAATGAAAAAACCGCTGCGGACACACCTGCTGGGGCCGGTGGAGCTCCCTATGGGGTCACGAAGCGTGTGAGGGGTACGCCAAAGTGGTCGGGGAACCGCATGTGGACGCACACACACTGGGGCCTTAGGCGGAGCTCCCTGTGGCGCCACGAACCCTGCGCCGGGCGTGCCAGAATGAGCGGGGAGACGCACGTGGACGCACCCACTGGGGGCTCTAGATGGAGCTCCCTTTGTGGCCACGAAACGAGTGAGGCGTGTGCCGACATGAGCTGGTGGACGCCACGCGACCCCCTGCCAGGGGCTTCGGTGGAGCTCCCTTTGGGGCCACGGAACGAAAGGCGTGTGCCGAAACAGAAACATACGGAGAGTAGAGGCAGGGATGAGTGAGTAACGCGGGGCGCTGCTGACTCAAAACAAGGATCCAACACCACATCATGGGTGGAGAAAGCTGATCAACAGCTACACGGATGGAGGGCAATCCCTTTTCAGAATGGGGTCTTCGCCAGCGCCTCATCTAGAAAATGTTACAGAAGCCTGAAACTGCGCAGCGTCTACACGGATGGACGACGACTCCTCTTCAAAGTGGGGCTGTCACCTCGAACATTATAACGTCAACTTGTCACATTGCTCATACGTCGAATGATGGAAGGCAATCCCATTTCAAAACAGAACTGCACGCCCGAATTGCGGGCCCACAGGGGCTGTCTTTCTAGGAAGCACCTCGCGTAGTGACGAATCACGCGTGCAGGGACTCACGAGGGGACCCGGAGGAGGAGGAGGAGGCGGAGGAGGAGGCGGAGAAGAAGGAAGAGGATGAGGAGGTGGAGGAGGATGAGAAGGAGAAGGAGAAGGATGAGGAGGAGGAGGAGGAGTAGTAGGAGGAGGAGGAGGAGGAGGAGGAGGAGGAGTGTATTGCAGCATCGGTGGTACATCTTGGGTTCACTCTGGTCCTGCTCCTCCTCGCCCTCCTCGCCGCTGTCCCCTCCTCCCTCCCTCCCCACTCCTCACTCCCTCCTTGCCGCCGCCTCTCCTTGCCCCCATTCCTCCCCCCTCACTCCCCTCACTCCCTCCCCTCCCTCCCTCCCTCCCTCCCTCCCTCCGCACTCCCTCCTCGCTCCCCTGGCCCTTCTCCTCCCCGCCCCCGCATCCCCTCCTCGCCGCTGTCGCCCCCCCCCCCCCTCCAGTTGCCGGCCCGCACCCGGCGCGCGCCAGGGCCAGGGATCCGCAGACGCGCAGACGCGCGGGGGGGGGGGCGGCACTGCTCGGGCTTCGCCGCCACGGCGGCCTCGCGGCGCGCCCGCCGCCCGGGGCGGGGAGGGCGGGGGGGCTGCTTCGGCTCGCGAGGAGGAGGAGGAGACTGCGGAGGAGGAGAGGGAGGAGGACGAGGGGGAGGAGGAGGAGGAGGAGGAGGAGGAGGAGGAGGAGGAGGAGGAGGAGGAGGGGGAGGAGGAACAGGAAGAGGAGGAGGAGGGGGAGGAGGAGAAGGAGGAGTGCAGTCGGCCCGCTGAGATGAGGAACGAGGAACAAGGAACGTAACTCCTCTTCTGGCCCACAGAGCGCCTGCGTGCACGAGGAGGGCTGGAGGAACAGCCACAGAAGGACCTGAGGAACAGCGAGCCCCTTCCGAACCGAACACAAAGAGGTCCTCCTTTCGGCGTCTTGACTGTATGAGGGGGGTCGGATGAGAGGAAGAGGGCGCGCCCGTCAGAGGTCTTTGTGCAACTCGGCGGAAGGACAAAGACTGTCAGAGAGACGCCAGCAGAGCTACTGGCAAGGAGCGAGGAGGAGTTGGGAGCAGGAATGGTACGGGGAGTTGAAGAGAGGACATGCGGAGGATGGAAGAATGGTGGATGGAGGGAAGGCATGGGAGGGGGAAAGGGAACTTGACAAGCGCGTTCCACTACTCGCAAAGAAACTACTTGCAAATGGCCCGGATCCGCCGAGGGGGATTTGCGATACATTACGTCGAGGCAGACGTTTGTGTTTAGGGCCTTTTGCGAGTAGACACTTTGCGAGTAGTGGAACGCGCTCGGTGAGTAACGGGGGGGAGGCGAAGGCTCTCGCTCCAATTCAGGGCCTCCTGGCCACCCACGTGGCCTTCAAGCCTCGTTGTCGTCGTCGTCGTCGTCGTCGTCGTCGTCGTCGTCGTCACCGTCGTCGTCACCGTCGTCGTCGTCGTCGTCGTCGTCGTCGTCGTCGTCGTCGTCGTCGTCGTCCTCGTCCTCGTCGTGCTCGTCGGCGTCCTCGTCGTGCCCGTCGGCGTCCTCGTCGTCGTCGTCGTCGTCGTCGTGCCCGTCGGCGTCCTCGTCCTCGTCGTCGTCGTTGTCGTGGTGCCCGTCGTCGTCCTCGTCGCTGTGGTCGCCGCCGCCGCCGTGACGGCGCCGCCACCGCCATCGTTCGGGCCTCTCGTCGGCGGGCGCCGCCGTCGGCACCGCCGCCGCCACCGCCGCCGCCGTCGTGCTCGCCTTCGGTCGGGCATGTCCTCCTGCAGGCGACTTTTGGAAGAAAAGCTGAGAATAGTCAGGAAATACTCCAAAATAGTCAACAGGTTTTGAATATTCCTCCTGTGGAGGGACACGCCCGACCCAATGCTCGCCGCCACCGCCAACGGCCGCCCACTTTGGTGTCCGTTCCATGGGAGCCTGCGTGGCCCCTGGCGCTGTCCGATTTGGACTTGATTTGGACCAAATTTGGAACACATTTGGCACCAGATTTGGACCACATTTGATTCGCACCTTCACGGGGGAGACGAAGAGAACGAGGAGGGGGGGAGCAAGAGCAGGGAACGGGCGAGGAGGAGCAGGAGGAAGGGCCAGAGGCGGTCCAGACGCGGTCCACTGCAGGTTGTGGCTGGCTCCCCATGAACGGACACCGAAGCCCACCGCCGCCGGGGGCGGCGGAAGGAGGGCCTGGCCTTCCGCGCGGCCTGCGCGCCGTGCTCGGCGCCGCCGCCGCTGGGCGCGCCAGCGGGCCGGGAGCCGCCAGGGCGCACGTGGTACTTGGGGCCTCTCCTCGGCGGGCGGCGGCGGCGGAGGAAGAAGAGAAACGGAGGAGGAGGAGGAGGAGGAGGAGGAGGAGGAAGAGAAACGGAGGAGGAGGAAGGAGGAGGAAGAGAAACGGAGGAGGAGGAGGAGGAGGAGAAACGGAGGAGGAAGAGAAACGGAGGAGGAGGAGGAGGAGGAGGAGGAGGAGGAGAAACGGAGGAGGAGAAGGAGGAGGAGGAGGATAAGCAACGTGACCGACGGGAAAAAGCGGCGTGCGCTGGGAGCTTCCAGGGAGCGCCCGCCGCCATCGGTGCCGCCGCCGTTGCCGCCGTTGCTGCCGCCGCTGGCCGCTCAGTCCTCGAGGCCCCTCCCTCGCCAGTCTCAGGCGGCGGGGGGGGGCGGGGGGGGCCTCGAGGACGGAGCGGGAAAGCGCAGACGGTGGCGGCGGCGAGGGCGAACTGACGAATCACAGCTCATCGCTTTTGCGTCCTCAAGCTCAAGAGGGCACCGTGCGGAGAGCGCCGCAAAACAAATCAGGAGTATCGTATCGAAACCGTCAAACGATCGACCAAACAAAAACCCAGTTCAGTCGGACTAGCGAATGCAAGGATGCCGAGAATGCCTATCAAGCTTCAGCGGAAAAGTGAGAAGCAACTGCGAATTGAAGAGCCAGACCAGGTACAGACCAGATCGACGACCCTGTCGGTGACGAGAGCGAGGGCGCTGAGGGCGACGAGGGGAACGAGCAAGAGGCCGACGACGAGGGCGAAGATAACGACGACGCGGGCGAGGGAAAGGCAGATGTAGGTGGAAGCGGGGGAGGCTGCGAGGCCGAGGTCTTCATCCTCTTCCATCGTCTCCTTTTCATAGTCCTTCGTCTCCTCTTCACCATCGTCCACCCCTTATTCTTCAACCCCCTTCCTCCTTGATTGACACTGCTCATTTTTCCCGGAAAGGGCGTAGGCCCAGGGTTCTCTTTTAGTATGTAAACATATCCCCCCGTGCCCAACTTGAAGGAGGCCGGCGGATTCTTTCCCTGATAAATATCGAGGTCGAAGGAGGCTGGCGGATTAAAATTTGAGGATGTCTCAGGCGAAACGCTTGTTTTTGAAATCCCGATCGATCAATCACAGGGTGCGGGCCACCTCAGCACGACCACATCCCAGCACGACCACACCCCAGCACGACCACGCCCCAGCACGACCACGCCCCAGCACGACCACACCCCAGCACGACCACACCCCAGCACGACCACACCCCAGCACGACCACACCCCAGCACGACCACACCCCAGCACCCACCCCGATCGACACAGGGTGCGGACCACCCCAGCACGACCACGCACGACCCCAGCACGACCACACCCCAGCACGACCACACCCCAGCACGACCACACCCCAGCACGACCCCACCCCAGCACGACCCCACCCCAGCACGACCATACCCCAGCACGACCACACCCCAGCACGACCCGACCCCAGCACGACCCTACCCCAGCAAGACCACACCCCAGCACGACCACACCCCAGCACGACCTCACCACAGCACGACCACACCCCAGCACGACCACGCCCCAGCACGACCACGCCCCAGCACGACCACGCCCCAGCACGACCACCCCCCAGCACGACCACCCCCCTAGCACGACCACCCCCCAGCACGACCACCCCCCAGCACGACCACACCCCAGCACGACCACACCCCAACACGACCATACTCCAGCACGACCACACCCCAGCACGACCACACCCAGTCGCACCCCCGTGGAATGTTTCGTGGGGTGTCTGGTTGAGTGGTTGCCTGTTCGTGGGGTGTCTCGTGGAATGTTTCACGGGGTGTCTCGTGGAATGTTTCGTGAGGTGTCTCGTGGGTTGTTTCGTGAGGTGTCTCCTGGGATGTTTCGCGGGGTGTCTCGTGGGATGTTTCGTGAGGTGTCGCCCAGTTGGATATCGTGAAAACGTGACCATGCTGCACATGTCTATATCCCTTTCCGGGTTCGTGGGTCCATCATGTTCTCACGATCTTCCTCCTTTTTCTCCTCATCTTGCTCCTCTTCTTCCTCTTTTCCCGACCAATGCTTGCTCTTAGGGGTTCATACTTGTTGTACTAAGTAATTGGGTGGGTAACCCGACTATTTTTGTTGGTGGCCACCCCGTGGCCGCATTTGGCCGCCCAACGTGAATCACATGTCTTGCACCACATAGCTCCGCATAGCGTGCACCACGTAGATTGCATCACGGAACTTGCACCATATAGCTTGAACATGCTTGACCTTACAGCTTGCACCTCCGAGCTTGCACCGCATTCCTTACAAAAGGTAGCTTGCCCCACTTATATTGTACGACGTAGCTCACATCACCTAGCTTGCATCAAATAGCTTCAACATCCACGGGGCAACAACTTACATTCCCAAAACAGTGCTTGCACTCTGGGGGCTCTTACTTGCATTTTCCCGGAAAGGGCGTCGGCCCAGGGTTCTCTTTTAGCTGTTTCCCCCCGGACTCGACGGGAAGAGGGCCGGCGGAATTATTTGCGATAAGTAACGAAGCGGGAAGAGGGCCGGCGGAATTCTGTTTGAGGATGTCCCGAGCGAAACGCTTATCTTTCAGAATTTGTTGAGGATGTCTCGAGCGAATCGCTTGTTGTGTTACAGATAATAATTTGATGTGTGAGGATGTCCCGAATGAAACGCTTGTTGTTCAGAATTTATTGAGGATGTCTCGAGCGAAACATTTGCTTTATGCTATATTTTGTTTCTCTCCTGGGGGCCAAAATTCAGAGGATGTCTCAAGTGAAAAACTTATTTTACTTTTACGTGTGTTCTGTTTTGGGGTATGTTTTCGGGGAGCGCTTTTCGCTCCCCTCCCGCCTCCCAGGAGGCCCCAGGAGGCTCGAGAAGCGTGAAAACACATGGTTCCTAACGCCCCAGGGCGGGACAAGGGTGAAAACACATGGGTTCCTAACGCCCAAGGGCGGGAGAAGTGTGAACACATATGGGTTCCTAGCGCCCCAGGGAGGAACAAACATGAAAACACATGGGTTCCTAACGCCCCAGGCCGGGAGAAGCGTGAAAACATATGGGTTCCTAACGCACCAGGGCGGGACAAGGGTGAAAACACATGGTTCCCAACGCCCCAGAGCGGGAGAAGCGCAAAAACACATGGTTCCCAGCGCCCCAGGAGGCCCCAGGAGGCTCCAGGAGGCTTCACGAGGCTCCAGGAGGCATTGTAATGTATTGGGATATAGGTTCGGGGGGCGCTTTTCGTCCCCCACCACCCCCAGGAGGCTTCAGGAGGCCCCAGGATGCACTTGTCTGTATTGGGTATGTGTTCGGGGAGCGCTTTTCGCTCCCCCCCCGCCCCCTAGGAGGCCCCAGGAGTCTCGAGAAGCGTGAAAACACATGGTTCCTAACGCCCCAGGGCGGGACAAATGTGCAAACACATGGGTTCCTAACGCCCCAGGGCGGGAGAGGTGTGAAGACATATGGGTTCCTAACGCCCCAGGGCAGGACCAATGTGAAAACACATGGGTTCCTAAAGCTCCAGGGCGGGAGATACGTGCAAACGCATGAGTTCCTAACGCCCCAGGGCGGGGCAAGCCTGAAAACACATGGGTCCCCTGGCACGTCCCGTGGCACGTCCATTGGCACGTTCCGTAGCGCGTCCCCTTGGCACGTTCCGCGGCGCGTCCTCCTGGCATGGTACCCTGTCATTTTAGCTCTGGGGCAGCTACTATGTGCTCATGCAGCTCGAGCTTAAGATCCAAATCAGTTCGGTCAGGACTCGGATGCAAAGGATGACTCGATCCACAACGCTATAGGGCACAACCGCGGCATGGCACATCGCAATTCAGCACGGTGCAGCACAGCACAGCCCTCGGCACGGTACATCAAGATCGATACACTCAGCATTGCATTTGCCCGTCGCCCAAATCGGGTGTCGGGTGTCTTGGAAGCGTTGCCACGCCTCACATTTCTACATTCCTTCCCGGGTTCGTGGGTCGATCATGTTGCACAACGAAGCACTTTAACCAATCTGGCGAGAACTGTCCACGTTGTCGCCCGTGGCCGCCTCGTGCGCTGGGTGGGCCCGGGCGAGGCTGCACCACGCTGCCGCGACGCCACATAGCTTGCACCGCATTGCTTGCACACCGGCAGCGCAATAACTTCATGTCTGTGGTTCACGCTGGCTAACATATTCTGCCCCCAACTCCCCGTCATGACTGCTTCCTTCTCCGCGGGAGCGGGGAAGGGGAGGCGGGGCGAAGGAAGTGCGAACGGGGCAATGGAGGAGTGGGGGTGGAGGAGGCGGAACATGACGAGGAGGGGCAGGGGGAGGGGGGGAGGGGAAGGGGAACGGTAAGGAAAGTTGACGGCAGAGGGGAGGGGAAGTGCCCTCCCTCCGTGCAGCCGTGCGCAGCATGTGCACCGCCCGCCTGCCACGCGTCCGCGGAAAGAAGTCCCGAGCGAACGCCCGATTTTGAGTCAGAAGCGCCCTCCATTCATCCAGCTGCTGCATCTGCTCAGACTCCAGGTCATCCAGCTTGACGTCGCAGGTGAAAGCCTCACTTCGAGAAGGACCCGCCAACCATACCTGTAACTGTTGCAACATGTTGAAGCGAATGTGCGCGGCGCTGGGGCGATGATGTCATTTTGAAAACAGCCCGCCCTCCATTCTTGAAGCTACCGCAAACTTTGAAGACGAACGTTCGCGGCGCAGAAGCGAAAGCCCCTTTTTGAGAAGGAACTGCTCTCCACCCTTGAAGCTGTTGCAAACGTTTCAAACGAGTGTGAACGGAGCTAAGGCGAGAGTCTCAGGCAGCATGGCACATTTCTAACGGGCCTCCTCATCATTGAGAACAAGCCCGCGTGGCTGGCGGCTGTGGCACCTATCGTTAGGTACGCAAAATAGCTCTGGAGTTTTTTTGTTTTTTGTTTTTTTTGTTTTTGTTTTTTTGCGGAGCTCCACCAACGGAGGGCAAATGCGCAGGAGAGGCCAGAACCGATCACACGACAGCAACCAAGGGGA